TTTATATTCATTTTTCAAATTCTTAAAGACACTAAACAATTCATTATATGCATTTTGTAGTTCATCATAGTTGTTTTCATCATCACTTGAGGATGAGTCGGAATCACTTACCTCACAGTCAGAAGAAATGATGTCATTTGCCAATAAGCAAATATTTGCTTCAATTTCCGCATTGCTTGACCCCAAACTTGAGTCACTATCATCGGTTCCTTCATAGGTTATTCTTAGCATTTCCCACATCTCCTGAGCACTTTTACAAACAGAAATCCTGTAAAAATTGTCAAGGGTTAAAGCAGATGATATTATATTTCTAGCCCTAACGTCAAATTGTGCTTTTCTGTTTTCCTCTGTAGTCCATCTAGAAAAAGGTTTGGGAACGTCAACACCGTTCTCAGAAACTTTAGGAACATATGGACCGTTGAAAATAGCGTCCCAAACGCCTGTATCAACAGACTCTAAAAAGATTTGCATTCTTACCTTTCAGAAGGGATAATTTTGACCCGCAAAAAGTGGGGGTCTGTTGATAGATGCACCTTCAGCAAAAGTTTGATTTTGTCCGGCCATTTTCAAAAATTTTGAATGACTATCAAAGCAAGCTCTGATACCACTTGTTAGAATCGCGCAGCGGAATGTTCGCGTGGTCGAACAAAAACCAAGAGGGGGGGTGAATTGGTTTCTTAACAAAAATTAGGTTTTCAAAATTTTCCCCAAATTTTACCGATTAAAAAACTGTGTAAATGTAAATAGAGAAGAGAAGAAATCTTACACAGGAGATTTATACTAGTTCGGATCAAAAGACCCTACGTCCAGTTGTTAATCACTCAAACAGAGGATTAACGTTGTCACTATAATCAAGTTGTTACAAGCAAATTACAATGGAAAAGATAAAGTAAAGAAAACACCTCTCTTGAAATCCACAAGAGATGAAGAACAACTTTCCCTAGAGACGGCACAACACACAATCCACTAAGAACTCCACTTAGTGATTCTTATCGCTTCTAGCCCACACCAGGTTCCAAAAAGCCCCTTTTTCTTGCAACAAACAGTTCTCTGGCACTCACAACACTTAACTTTTGTATGAAAAAGGTTGTTCTTGCTTTCTGAGTGCCATGGAGAAGCTTAAGTAGAGAAATTAGGGTTTGGGAATTGGGAATTTCGAAACTAGGGTTCTTGGAAATAGGGTTTTCGAAAATGGGGTTGATTTGAAGTTAAAAATCAAAATATGACTGAAATAATCAATTAAATGAAGTGTTAATCGATTATTACAGAGCCAAAATCAACAGAACCCCAAAACTCTCGGTTTTAATCGATTAAAAGACCTGTTAATCGATTAACAGGCCTATTAATCGATTAACAGGGGTGTTAATCGATAAAAACAGTGAACAGATACAGAAAATGGTTTTTCTCACTGTTTTAATTGATTAATTCACCAAATAATCGATTAAAGTCGAGCCTCTTTAATAAATTTGAGCTTTTTGAAGCATCTAAGGTGTAGACTATGTACCGACTATCTCAAACTCTAATAATACAGACTCAATCTAATCAAAACAGAGTTATTACAATATAAAACAAGTCTTTAACACTCTAAGTCTTGTGTTCTTGAATCATCATCAAAATCAACAAGCTTCATGTCCATCAAGTTCAAGATCAAGTCCTTGAATGTTCAACAAATACCAAAAGTGAACCAGTTCTAACAATATTTGAATTAAAAGATAAACTAAATTCATTGTTTCCACATGAATAAGAATAACTTGATTTGTTTAAATAAGAAACTGAAATTAAATTCCGTCTAAATGACGACACGACAAAAGTGTCTTTCAAATCTAAATAAAAAATCAGTACACAATAAAAATCTAGAATGCCCAATAGCCTCCACCTCCACCGATTTGCCATCTCCAACGAATATCCATCTCTCAAAATCAGTTGGCTTCCGGTAGTTTAGACAATCCTTCATAGAAACACTGATGTTAGTAGTTGCACCTGAGTCTAACCACCAAGTGTTACTAGGTACTAACGCTAAATTGACTTCAGAACAGACCATAGTAAGAAACATACCTTTCTTTTCACACCAAGCATGATATTTAACACATTTCTTCTTTACGTATCCAGTCTTATTGCAAAAGAAATATTTGTTTAACTGAGTTTGTTTCTTTTGTTTTGGACCCTTAGTAGCTTCCTTCTCGAGATCCTCTGATCTCTTTCTTTTGCCCTTAGCCTTGGAGGTGCTTGCAAAATGAATACTTTCTGTCTTGTCTTGCTTTAGTCTTTCCTCTTCTTGTATACAGTGTGAAATGAGCTCATTAAGAGACCATTTATCCTTCTGACAGTTGTAAGATACCTTAAACTGATTAAACGTTGTGGGAAGAGAAATTAACACCAAATGAATGAGCAAGTCTTCTGAGAGTTTAAGCTTTAGTGCCTTGAGTTTAAAAACAATATTAGACATGCTCATAATGTACTCCTTGATATTTCCTTTGCCCTGATATTTCATGGAGATCAAGTTCTGAAGAAGAGTGCTTGCCTCCGCCTTATCGTTGTTTGCAAAACGCTGCTCAATTTCAACAAAGGAATTCTTTTACACTTGTGATGTTTTCAGAAACAGTGTCCCTAAACACCTCCGGGATGCTGCGCTTTGTTAAGTGGTAAAAAACTGATATAATTATACTTTTAATTGTTATGAAATCACTTAACTTATGTCAATTCTAATATATTTTTCTCCCAATGTAGGATAAATTCGAGAATACCTTGATACAAGAGCAATGAGCATAATTGTCAACATAATTGAAGCAAAAACTGAAAAGAGGAGGAAGATTTTCAACATGGAAGTCGCTCGAGCGAGATAGACTCTCGCTTGAGCGGAAATTAGATAAAACTCTCTGGAAGTCATTTGCTCAAGCATCATTATTCTCGCTTAAGTGAAATTAGTTAAACTTTTCTAGAACTTACTCGCTCAAGCGAGCACAATTTCGCTTGAGCGAAAGACGCGAGATCCAAATTCTCCTATAAAAAGATAAGATGTGTTTTGAGAAGGTGGGTGGAGTTTTTGGGAGAAGAGGCGCGACTACTGCTAGGGTTTCGTCCAATCTTAATCAATTCTTCACTTCTTCCTGATTTAGAGCATTGTAATAGCCACCATGAGTGGCTAACTTCATTCTCTTGGGATTGGGTGCACTTCCTTTGAACTCCTTTGTATCTTGGTGATATTTTGAGATATTAATCTATGTTTTGATGTTGTTATTCTTATCTTTTGTGCCTTGAAATGATTTATTCTTGATGTTTGGGGTATGATTGAAAAATATATCTTGAACCCTAAATCATGGTAAGAATATTTGTTACATTAATTGTCAGGAATGGAATGAATGTATCAATTGCTTAATACCCTAAACCTAATGCTGGAAAATCTCTTAATTGTGTGCGAAGCCAACATTTATTAGGTTTTCTTATGAATTTTATGTGTGAGAAATCAACATGGATGATTTGAGTAGGTGACATCAACATTGTTAGGTAAATTGATGATCTTAATTGAACATAACCATTGCAAAAGAGAGAAAAGGAAGAAAGTCAATCCTAAGTGCCTTTAATTGATATTTTCTAAACAATTTATAGTTCTTTATTTACGTTCAACTTGACTCTTTAAGCAAAACTCATTCTGTTTTAATCCACTTAGTAAACATATAATTGAGAATTTCCATTGAAACTGTTCCTCATGGGATCGACTTTTATTTAATCGAAATACTATAATGTGATTGATAATTTTGGTATGTTTGCCAATAATTCAACACGCTTAATGATCATTAGGCTCATGCGATTTGAGCGATCCCACTTCTCATAATCTCTCTTTTGTTTAGAGGTACTAGAATCCGTAGGAGTAGGGGGTTGCTCAGTCCTTAACGCAATATCCATATCCATGCAGCCAAGAATAATATCAATGTTCTCTTTCCCATCCTTAAAATTTGTTCCATTGAGGATCAGAATAAAATTTAAATTGGCAGATACATAAGCAATTATAATTGGATTAGAACAAAAGAAATAAACTAATTATGCTCACATTATAAAAATAATTAATTATAAATATTCAAATAATAGTTTAACCCATCTCAAGACACCCAATGCACCGTCAATATCAAGTCTTGTAACAGTAACTGCTAGGGGTATCTTGTTAATGGTCAAACACTGATAATAAGACATGTTCGATAACAAATCTATCTTTGGATTGATTTTATTATCAACATGCAAAACCGTATAATTATCACGTGTTTATTGTCACAGGTGTGTATGCAACCTGACCAAGTATTTATCTTCCTTTAGGCCGATCAATACTCGCATGGATCAATACTCGCATGGATAATAAATACACACAAACATTTAACATTTTTCATGAACTATTTATTCAAGAGAGGTTACTTTGGTGACTTTTTGACTCAATTTGCTCATAAAAAAATATTAAACTACCTAAAATTTGAATATATTAATTATATAGCAAAACCGAATATTTATAATTCTAAAGAAGGAAAAATTTATAATTTATGTATATGCACTTTAAGTTGGATTGTTTTGTAATTTGTCAATTAAATATATATGAAGGAGTTGCATCTGAACTTTGCCATCAACACCGCATGAGCAATCCAACACCAATCCCTATCCCCACGCACATCCCAAGGCCAATTTCAACACCAACTCTAACTCCAGCATTGAACCATGAGAGTTGTCCATCCTCACCGAGATACATATCTTGAGTGTAGAAAATATTCCCAATCTTCCCATCACAATCATAATCATGATTAAGCTGGGACCAAAAATTGAACCACCCGCGAATCCACTGCCACGAACAAATCTCACAGACCACCTATGCGAGACCTCTACGAGAAGACAAAACCACTATTGATGGAGGAAGCCCGCCACTGCGATCAAAACACCGCTACTGCAAAATGCACCTCCACAGACCTGCAGAAAACCAAAAACGAAGGTGCATTCGCAGAAGGGGAAGAGGTATCTCACACATGGATTATGCTCTTCGTCCTCTTCATGTAGATCCTCCTCCTCTGCAACTTCTGCAGCTTCCCCACTTCAATTCCCACTCTTCTCAAGCCCTAGACCAAGACCGACAAGCCGCAGGGCGTGGCGGTGAGGAACTCGAGCGACGAGGAACCCAAGAATTGGGTTTTAAGAAACTGGTACAAATTGTGGCAAGGGCCCGACCGTACAAGTCCATGGAAACTAGTTGCCTATGAGTGTCTAAAGTGAAGAATTTGGTTGCTACTAGAGTGGTGTAGAAGGTTCTAGAAGATCGTAAAGGTTGTATTGTTTGGTGGTTGCGAAGCGGATAGACAACCAGGAGATTTAACCCCAAATTTGAATTTAAGGTTTACAAAAATTGGAGATTATACTCCACCTAGGGTTCTGAATTCTTAAATTTTATTTATAAAAGACAAACATGAATCAAGTATGGGTGGTTCTGATACCATTGTTAGTAAACTAATAATTATGATCTTGATTTTGATTCTCACGATCAAACATAAACATTATCTCATACTCATAAACATGTTGTAGACTAAATGCGAAAGCGTACCTGAATTAGCCATAATGATGATATCCCTTTTAGAGCACTATTGATCTTATGGTCTTCCACCTGAAGAGCACCTTTATTTTTCCTCTGGATTTTCTCTCTTGATGGGGGTAGAAAGAAAGAAACAGGAACTGAGACTTACGTTCTGTGTGTGTGCTCCCAGAAGGGGACCATGACCCATTAAATAACCAGAATTAGGTTAATTACTTAAGTTTTAGTATTTCTAATTCGGCTCCTCATCAAATTAGAAATTACTCTATGGTCTCTACACAATTTTATTTCCATGACATATGCCTTTGGCAAAAATTTTAATTTAGTTAGATCACTTTATTATTTGTCTTAATAAATAATGACCCTAACACATTTAAATTATGTATTATATATATACATGACCCAAAATTTGCCAACAAGAGGTAATAATAAAAAGAACAATTTTGATGTTTTTTTTTGCAAATATTTCATCATAATTAATTTCATACTATTTCTTGTTTCTTAGAGCAACTAATTGAGCCTTGTAATGATTAAGAGAATCATCAAAAATCAACTTGGCATAATAAACTCATTTGCAACCTATTGGTTTGATATTAGGAGGATAAGGGACAATATCTAATGTGAAATTTTCTTAAAAGACCTCATGTTCATTATTAATTACCTTTTCCTAACATACATCGTTAACAACCTAAGAGTAACAAGTAGGAATAGATGTGCCAAAGAGAGAAATAGTCAAAGTATTGGAGAAATCAAACTTGTCTCATGAATATCTATCAAGTGCTTTAAAAATTCTACTATATCGTCAAAACACAAACAATATCAAAGCGGATCAGTGTCAAAAGGTAGGGTGGGAACATGACTTTTAATAGATGGAGACAAAAGAGAAAACTTTGAAAAAAATAACAACATCATTCTAAATAGGAAAAGGATAAAGAAACAAAAATTAATTATCAAATAATGTCACATTTTTTTATATGGGAAAACGATGGTTAGAAGTATCAAAGTAGACGAAATCATTATGAGGGGCTATATCCCATAAACACATAATGAACAAAGTATGCCCCAAGTTTATGTCATTCAAATGGAGGTAAATGAATAAAACATACACGACTAAAAACATGTAAAACACTATATTCAGGATGAGTTTTAAAGAACGAAAAAAAGAATCTTCTAAATCAATAACCATAAAAAGAAAATGATTGGTCATATTAAGTAAGTAATGGTTCTTGCATTCTGTAATATCATTTTGTTAAGGTATATTGGAACAAGAGCATTCAGACACAATGTCTTTTTGTTAAAGATACCCCTATAACTTATGGGACAAGTATTCACCATTACAATCAAAGCAAAATATTTTAATATTGGTTTGAAACTTATTTTCAACATGTCATAAATTTTTTAAACATAGAAAACACTTCAAATTTAGATCGAAGAAAATATTTTCAAGATATGAGCACTTTAATTCATTGTTTCAAGCCAAAATTTCTTTGAACAGTCCCTCAAGTTAATAATCTCCTTACTATATTCAAAATTGTTTTGTTCTTCCTTTCATATACATCATTTTGTTGTGGTGTATAACTGTTATGAGTTCTCTTCGTATATCATGCTTTACATAAAAAGTTTCCAAATATTTTGAACTATACTTACCACCACAATTAGTGTAGAGGTTTTAACATTTTTCTAACCTCATTTTCAATTCAAGTTTTAAAAATCTTAAATGCAAATAATGTTGACCTATAAAAATTGGACCCAAGTTTTCCTTGAAAAATCTTCATAAAAGGTAATAAAATAATTTTTACCTCAATTAGAAAATGAATTTATTATACGGTAAATATCTGAGTGTACGAACTCTAACACATCATTTGTTCTCCATAACTTGTTATTAGGAAATAGAGAACGATGTTGTTTGTTAACAACACAATCCTCGCATACTTGGGAAAGATTTTGAATTTGAGGAAGTCTTATAACCATGTTCTTTTGATTGAGAAGTTTTAATTCTCCAAAACTCAAATGGTCATAACCATGATGAGTCTTTGATTTCAATTACCAAGCAAAACTTAACCGTTTCAATATTCAACAGAAATAACCTATTGGAATTCATCTATACAACAACAGAAAAGCACCTCTAACAATATGATATATTTCACAAGAACCTTATTTAAAAGTAATGATATAACCTCTTTATTATAATTGGCTGAATAAGTTACTTTTCAAATCCAGGGCATACATTACATTAAATATTATTTCCATAATATCATTCTTGGTTTCATTTTGATATCACTTTTACTCCTCACTTCTATAGAAAATAAATCACCTAAACTTTCAGTGGACTGAAAATCCCCATTTAAATAAGAACAAAAAAAAAAAACTTACATTCACCACTCATGTGATTACTACAACGTCATCAACATACCAGATTTCTAAGTTCATGTTATTTTCTTCATGGAAAACCAACAATGAAATTTCTTCTCATTCACTTTTTTAACAAAATGTGATTTATTCCTTTTTTCTTTATCATTAGGAAGCCAAATATATTATTTATAAGCATAGTGATCATGTTTAGGACATTTAAATCATTCTACATGAGATTTGGTATCATCTCATCCTCAACTTCTATTATGAAATTGATTATTATTAGCTTTAAAATGTTTGTTTTTATTTTTACATTCTTCATCTTTTTTTTCCTCCATCCCCCCTTCCTCGACTTCTACTCCTTCATCTTGAGATTTGTAGAAGATTTCAGAGCTTATTGATTTGAAGTTGAATTTTGATTTATTTTCTACTCATGAACCAACAAACTTTGCGATTATGAAGAGAAAGGGAATTTATATTTTTTGACTCCTCAATGAAGCAAACAACATAGTTAATAAGAAAAATGTGTTTTTCTTATTTAGCAAGGATGGTAACTTACCCAATAAATAAGCTATTACGTAACAACCACAAAATGATAATAATTGTTACATATAACTACACATAATAGCATATAATATGGAAACTTAAATCTTTACTAAGGATGAAAAAATGAGTTAGACCTAACTTACCTAAAAAATGACAGGATGAGTTGGTAGTTTTAGTCTGTCAACCCCTTTTATAAATATATTTGTGATTTGTTCTTCACTTCTACAATGATGTAAATCAATTGAGTCGTCATTGTTATATTCCCTAAAAAAATAATACTTCCTTATGTTATACCATAGTAACATCTTCAATTCTCTCTCCATGACATCTCATCTTCAACGTTCATTTGTAAAATTTTAAAATATTTCCTCAAGGTTTCAAGTTGTGCGCACTTCACTTTTACAAAACCTTGACATTTTTTCTTCATTGAATCCCATATATCCTTGGAAGTATCTTTGCAAATAATAGTCTCTTTAAGGTTGGACGATCAATTGCTTGAAAAAGACCACTTTTAGCCTTTAGATCTTTGAGTTTTCTTGCCTTAAATTTTCTTTTTTGTGACATGACTCTTGATTTGTATATTCAAAAACTGTCCATAATTATTTGATAAAAAAAAAGTTCCCTATAAGCCTAATTTAATGGTCATAATGACCGTCAAAATGAGGAATGTTAGCTTATACAAAACTTGAATCAATGGTAGTATAAAAAATTGAGAAAGGATGATAGAAGAAGGTTATCTCACATATTTCACTCTCTCACAGTTATAGTGTTTGACTCAGATACTTCTGATACCATTGATAGGATTTTACGAGGGGGATTAATAACACTGTTATGTTTAATTGAGGGAGGAACAGTAATCATATAAATTATAGTATGACACCACTTTTAACTCAAAATTTTAAAGCATTATATTTATGGCTCTTTCCCACTTATATTCAATTTCACCATTTCTAAACAATGTAGGACTTCAATATACTTGAATTCTAGTACTTACCTTATATGCAAAGTTATTAACAATCTACCTAGACTTGTGAGATGACTACATACTCTACTAGTAGGCTTGTCAAAGTCTATTTCATGTAAAAAAAAATACTAATTTAACAGAAAATACAAGCACCATGATAACAATTTTATTATATTAAAATAAATAAGTTAATATAATATACCAATAAAATATGAGTTAAAAAAAGTAAATAATAATTAAATAACTAAAAAAATATAAATATTATGAAGTTTGTATGTCTTTAAGCAATTTTTATATTTTACTATTTTTTTATTATTAAGTTCCAAACGACGATAAATATGGATAGAGACACAAATGACTTAGAATGCAAGACCTAAACGCGACAACAAATGTCTTCATTATCTTGAGACCCGCAGTCCCAAACTAATTGTGCGAGACCTAAAACTATGAAGCTGAATAAAATTATTCATGTATGTTTCATTTTGAGTGTTTTAAGTACACTCATTCAATAAAATTAAACTCACAAATCTAACTCGTGGCCCCCAAATAAACTCGTAAACTCTTTTGAGCTTACGAGTTAATCCTAAAGTTTGAAACTAATGTATGCATGTATTATGTATAATTGTTTGATTTTTATACATTATTAATTTCTTTATTAAGTTTTTAATCATCACTGTTAGAGAAACTATTAGTTGTATGTCACATAGATAATTAAGTGATGTGTATATTCAAATGTGTGGACTTAAGTGTCATCTAATAATAATAATAAATTTGAAACATCACATATTGTCCAATATTCATTAAGGGAAATTTTCATGAACCTAACGAATGTCATCACGACTTTGATCTCCTTTTACCCTCCCCCAAGAGAAATTCCACTTCATCCCCTCACCTTGGCCCTTTAACAATTAGGAATTGAAACTCTTTACCTTTTTCCGAAGGCTATACAGCCAAGTGACGAATCTTCTTGGAAGCCGAGGAGGGTCGTGGCCCCCCAAAGTTTTGTAACTCTCATGTAATTTATGATTTTGCCCCCCCCCCCCAAAACCTTAATTCTTATATAATTTATGATTTTGTTTCCTCAAACTTAATGATCATTTTATATATTTATTTATATATTTACAAATTTATCCTCTCACCCTTTCATCTTCTTTCATCCTTTTATATTTATTTATTATTTATTAATAATATATTATTTGGCTCCCTAAAATCAATGGTCAAGATCCGTCACTGTATACACCAACTTAAATTTCCCATCATCGATGTTGAATACACCATAAAATGTATTAAAGTCAAACCTGTTATCATAATATCATTAGAGAAATCTATCACTACATCTAAAAATCAATTGTATGTCAATTTTTCATCCCTTATGTTATCGTCATGAAAATTAGAAAATAATTCAACAGCCAACAAGTTCAAAGATTTTTCCCTAGACTTGACATCTAGTAGATATTCACATTTGTTGAACACCCATAAACACAGGAACAGGTGAAAACCACTAGCAAAGCAATATTAAGAAGTCCTAAGCAGTGATTAGAGGAAGCTAAATCCTTTTGGCCAAAAGACCTTCTACATGCATTGTGGTCTACCACACAACACCATAATCATGCACTAGAGATTACATTAAACATCAATCCCTTTTTACGAACTTCCCATCCACCACAGACTTAAATGAGTCCAACTCTAAAACGTCCACTCCAGGAACCATTACTTTAATTTGTTCTATTAGCTTCAAATACCCAAAGATATACGTCCTAAAAATTTTGTCTTTAGCGACATTGAGGGCCTTCTCTAAATCAGCATATTTCTTTTCACCGTCCTCTCATTCCCTCATGTTTTTATGCTCCTTCCTTAGCTGGTAATTCTTCCCCTCTCTTTGCTTTCTCTTGAGAAAAAAAATGCATTTGGCTCTTTATTCGTTCAACCTCAGCTTTCCCCTTTTGCAATTCTTCATATTTTGCCCTCAAATAAGTCATCTCCTTCTTCTCTGCTGAACAAGTCTCTCAATGACACATCTTATTGATAAGAGCTAGCACCACCGTCCTATTGAGACAACTTTGCAACCCACAACTAACATCCACCCTGGGCAACTTTCCTAACATTTAAAATCATCATCAAGTAGATTATGAGCTTAGTTGTGTTCTGAATGAGGGAAGGACAAGTCCCAAAAAGACTTAGCTTCTCCATACTTGCTTCCCTGATCAATCAAGTCCCCATTCTCGCCAATAACAACATCGGGTATCTAATCATCAGAATCTAATTATATGACCCCTGACCTTTGTCAAACTCCACCTTAATAGGATCTTCCTTAATCACCTCAGTGTGGAACTGCTTTCTAGTCTTTAGTTGCCCATGGGTCTCCACTCAGCCCCACCATTTCCTTAGTCTCCCGCACAAACATCTCTTGCATGAGATGGGCAATTTCCTTATTTGATAAAGACTTTTTTTTTTCTGCATTACACAAAACATTATGTTAGGTACATGTCAAAAATCAACCCATGTTAGGAAAATACAATTAAGTGTACCTATATTTAGTTTTAAATTTATGACCTAATATTCTAACTTAAGCAATTGGGTAGTATCAAACACAATTTTCAATCGTTCTAGCTTCATACAATGTTTAGTCTTCTCTGAGTTCAACTCTTTTATATGTGGTGAAAGTCCCACATCGCATACCTTATGTCATTTGGTATAGTTTAAATACATGTTAGGCTACTCCACATATTGCCAATTGGTTTTATGTTGGAACCTTAACATGGTATCAGAGCCAAAGCCTAACATCTTTATGCTTATTGTCATGGGCCAACAGTTGCCATTTAGTTGGGTCAAAAGTACCCTTTGCCTGGTCCGGCAGGCTTCGTTGGAGGAGGCGTGTTGAAAGTCCCACATCACCTACCTCATGTTATTTGTTATGGTTTAAATACATGTTAGGCTACTCCACATATTGTTCAATTGGTTTTATGTTGGAAACCACTCAAATAATGTGAGGGTATGGGTGGGAGTCGCAACCTTTATAAACTTGCCTTTAAAATGTTTGTATGATATAATAGAAGAGGGTGAGTAGTTTATAACCAACTATGCTACTGGATGACGCCCATGACATCTTCCTCAATGTTTTGAATTAAAAAAAAAAACTAAATAAAAACATGTTTGCCAACAACAACATACCAAAGTGTGCACACAGTATATGAAAAGCCCTCATAAACACCTAATTGTTTGGGTGTATTTGAGCAGGAGTCATGTTCAACACAATAAAAATATCCTTTTGAAAATAATCTAACAAGAACCAAAGTCCCAACTTTACCAACAATGTATCATAAAACCAAAATATATTGACTGGATAGACACTCTCATCCTTACATATAGGATCATCCTCCGCACATGCCTTCAAATATATTTCTTGTTCATTTCTAGTTCAACTCAAGGGATATTTATTTATAAAGGCTTTCAAATTTTTTACGAATGTATAGGCAAGTCTCTCATGAATAAGGTAGCCTTGGCCTACGGGTACAACTCCCTATACTTCACCTCTCTCAGACAAACCCAAAAATGAACGATGAACCACCAGATAATTACCAAAACAAAAACAAATCAAATAGTTCCCTAACAATCACCAACAACACTTTCATAGCAAACCAGAAGAATTGTCTCAAATTACTACAAAGTAAAGTAGAACGCAAAATACCCAAACACTTACAACATGCAAGCAAGAAGAAGGGCGAACAATATACTTAACAATAGATATTCAAAGTTTCTGGAGATTAGAAGAGAAGTGGCACTGGTGAGAAAAAAAGTAAACTATAATGCTTTGCAAAAATAAGAACTCAAACATTTCATGGACCTTGTAAAAAGAGGGACTACTCGAGTGGATGCACAACTAACGAAGCAATGTTGCTATCATCAATTCATTGTGTCGACTCTACTTAACATGGATTAAATCTAAGTTTCTTGCCAAAAAGTAATTCCTCTATTATGAGGATTGAAATACCTTAATGACATGGATATTTTACCAACTTCTGTGACACGATTCGAGACCATATTTTCTTATCAATGACTATTACCCATCCACGAATCACCATAGAAATATATTAATGACATGGATATTTTACTAATATCCACCACATGAGTTTATTCACCTTCGTCTTGAAATTGGGGGTTATGGTGTTCATCTCCATCCTAACGGTTATTACCTGACCACTACCTCTTTCACGAAGATAGGCAATTGATGCACAGATATGATACATATCAGATTATTTATCTTATATTAAAATAATAGGATTTTATACAAATAGAATACGAATATATATATATATATATATATATATATATATATATATAATTATTAAGTGTTATTTAAATTAAACATATTAAATATATAGACAAACTAAAAATTTAAATGTGAAGTAAAACATATAAATAACTACTTATTGCCTAGAAATATGAATAATATCAATTTTATCCCCTTCTTGAGCATCATATGTAAATAAAATAGCTTGCATGTTTCGTTCATCGATAGATAATGTTGCTACTCTAAGGTTTTTAACATTGACAAAGTCATACCATGCATCTCCACTAATATCTCACATTTTAGAATTTCATTAGTTATATATATTGTTCACTTTATTTAGCCTGAAGTCGTGAATTAGTATGCATATAAATCAAGTCTTCTTCCCTTTTAAGATTCAACTTATTTCTTTTCAATAAGTAAATAAATGAATAAGTGCTTCAATTTCTTTCGCAACAAAATAACGAGCAATGTTGTACAAGATGCTTCAATGCTAGTTTTTAAATGAGAGGGACACCACACCAGACCCATGCATCGCCCACCAAGATTTGAAATCCAATGTCCACCTATTTTCTATTGTGTCAAAAGAAACAAAACTATTTGACTTTAATGAGAAGTGAGCACATTCAAGTGCAGCATTTCTTCTATCCTCATTCGTTGTAAAAAGTTTTTCCAAGCACGTATTCCTCTCCCTAGAAATCTTTTCATGCTCATGTGGTGGGATTCGATTTTAAGCCTCTTGAATCATTCCTCACTCGTAATATATACAATTAAAATTAAGAAAATAATTATATTATAAAAATAATAACTTTTTAAATGTTTTTATATATAAATTATAAAAAAATGAGTATTTATAGGATAATATTACCTGTGATTCAAGGGTGAATCATGCAATAAAGAGGAGTGCAACTTATAGTCCACCTATCAATTAGTATACCATAAACAATTTCATAAAATGTTGATATATTATTTTCCTTCTCTTCTTGCTTATATATGATTGTCTTCACCTTTTCTATCATAGTATGTCACATCTCATAAACCAAATGAAGTGTAAAACCATTTGTATCATAAACTCTAAGCATGTTATAGACATGCTTAATAAAAGCTAAAATATATGCAATTTTGCCCAACATATATCATTTAAAACAATTTTTTGTAATGCTTGAGTTGTGTCCACATCATCTTCTCTATAAGAATTTCATTCTTCACTAATAATCATGTATTGTAAAGAATTTTCAAAAATTTGAATCTTCTCATCATTACTATAAGATATGAAAAATGTGTATAAGAAATTTCAAATGTGAGAAATGATTAAAATGGCCAATCTCATGGAGTGGTTTATGATAACGTTCCTAATGAAAACAAACACCATCAGCTTTAGTAATCCAACTATATTCACTATAATCGACATCATTTCATCTTGTATTTGTGTTGTACATATGTTATTCAAAGTAAGATAAATGTGAGCATAACAAAATGTTTCCAAAACACTTTAGGAAATGAAATTTCAATAATCATTCCAATAACTTTGTAGACAAAAACATTATCTATTATAATTTGCACAACATTTTCTTCATCTGCTTGTTTAATAACTTTAATGATTCTATCAACTATGTATGCTTATTTTTTATTTCATGAAAAACATCAGCAACTTTTAAAAATATAGGAACCTCCTCACTAGAGGCTATAAAATTATTAGAGGTTGAAAGTGATGAAGATCTTATTGAAATACTCTGACAAAGATCTTGTTGATTTGATGAAGTCAAAGATAAAGTCAAAGTCAACTTTGTAGCGGTCAACAGTCACTTAGATAAAAGAGTAGAGGGATTAGTGTGTCCGCAGCTATGCTTAGGTATAATCATTTTTATCTTTTCTGCTGCATGAGGTTTCTTCACTTAAAAGATTTTGCAAAATGCCTCTAAAAACGTTTAAGCAGTTAAAAACAAAGTATTTTAACAAAAGCTTTCTTAAACAAGTTTTTAACTGATATAATTTCGAAATAACCGGATGTTTTCATTAAAGAAAGTTTTGAAAACCTTCTGTCAGTGTTTTAACTGATAAAGCTTCGAAATAACCGATTAAAATCACTTAAAATGTTAAGATAAGTGTTTTTGTAGTATTTTAATCGATACAACTTGGTTTTAATCGATTAAATCCACTTAGTGTTCAGGATGATCGATCAGAATGCAATTATGACCGATCAGAATCAGATATGATCGATCAGAATTGAGTTATGACCGATCAGAGCTTTTTCAATCGATTAAAACACGTTTCAATCAATTAAAACAACTTAGAAAATTTCTACACAACGTTTTAATCGATTAAAACTTATTTTTATCAGTTAAAATCACTTGGAAAATTTTACAATAAAGTTTTGCGAGTATATTAATCGATTGAATCACGAAACAATTGATTAAAACAAATTAGAAGATTTTTTGTAAAGAGTTTTAATTGACATAAACGTTGTCGTATCAGTTAAAACATATCTGTTAAAGAATCAAGAACGCTTTAATGGATTAAAAGAAGTTTTAACAGATTAAAACTAGACTTTTAACAGATTAAAAGATTATTTTAACAGATTGATTAAACCAGCAGTTTTGAAAATCTTCTATAAAAATAGTTTGGCTTGAACATTTTAAACACACATTGAACATCAATCTTTTACACATCCTTTAGCAATCAAGCAAGCAAACTTTAGCACTCTTTCAAGAAAGATTCGCGCTAGTTTTTGTGAAGTTCTTTGAAATTCTTTCTTGAGGCAAATTGCTTTCTTTTGAAGAAGAAACACACTGCAGAATTGCATAAAACTGGTTTGAGAATTCTAGTTTCTTCTTTTCATTTCTTTTTATTCTTTTACTGTATTGTTTGGTGCCTGGAATTGTGGGCACTGGTTTCTCTGGAGCTGGAATTTGGTTGTAGAGGTTGTCAAGAACTGGAATTTGGTTCTTGGTAAAAGGTTAGGTGTTGGTGTCTGGAATTGTGGGCACTGGTTTCTCTGCAGCTGGAATTTGGTTGTAGAGGTTGTCAAGAACTGGAATTTGGTTCTTGGTGAAAGGTTAGGTGTAAGAACTGGAATTGTGGTTCTTGTGGTAGATTGTGTAAGATTGTAATCTGTAAAACATTTGATCTAGTGGAACCTAGCTGGAATTTGGCTAGAGACTGGACGTAGCCCTGGTATTGGGTGAACCAGTATAAACACCGGTGATATCTTTCTAAACCTTTCTCCTCTTTTAATTTTGTGGCTGCGTTTATTGTTGATTGATTGCTTTGTGATTCAAGAACATATCTGAAATCTTATTTTTACAAATAGATAATCTGTTAATTGCGAAAATCTTTCAAAGATCAATTCACCCCCCTCTTGATCTCAGCCTACTTTTCTAACAATTGGCATCAAAGCGAGGTTCTTGAGAGTTATTCAAGTTCTTCGATCCATGGCTGAAAGCAGATTACCATTTTCCGAGGGAGCTTCTATTAACGGACCTCCACTGTTTTGTGGAGCAGATTATCCTTTTTGGAAAATTAGGATGAAGATCTTTATTGAGTCTATTGATAGAAATGTTTGGGATGTAATTGCTAATGGCCCTTTAATTACAGAAAAAGAATGGTCCAGTTTAAATGATGAGGAAAATAAAAAATTTCAAAATGATTGCACTTGCTAAAAATATAATTACTTCGCACTTAACATGGATGAGTTTTTCGGGGTCTCCCAATGCAAATCTGCCAAGGAGATGTGGGATGTTCTTGAGGTTACTCATGAAGGGACAACGAGATGTAAAGAGAGCGGAAAGCATACTCTCATAAGAGAATATGAGTCGTTCAAAATACAAATTGGTGAAAGCATTGCGAGATGTGCGAAGCGATTCACTCACATCATTAATCATCTAATGGGCCTAGGTAAGACCTTTGATAAAGAAGAATTAAATATTAAAGTCTTGAAATGTCTTGACAAGTCATGGCAGCCAAAGGTCACAAGCAATTTCGAGTCAAAGGATTTGTCCGTCATGACAACGACTTCTTTGTTTGGCAAACTCGAGAGAACATGAAATGGAAATTAACAGATTTAATGAATAAGAAGTCTCCGAGAAGAAAAGAAAAAGTATAACACTCAAAGTTGAAGAAAGAAATCAAGAATCGGAGGAGGAAAGTGAGAATCTTGGATCGCTTGTCGGAAAATTCAACAAATTTCTCAAGAAAAAGATTCAAGACAAGGAAAAACATAAAAGGTATGAGAAAAAAACTGATTCTTCTAACTTTAAATGCTATGGTCTGTGGTAAGCGGGGCCATGTAAGAATGGAGTGCCCAGAAAAGAACAAATATAATGACAAAAAAGAAGAGAAAGTCAAAAGAAGAGCCTATGTAGCATGGGATGACAATGACACTTCATCAACGAGACAATTCGATAATGAAGAAGCCAACACGTGTCCGATGGCAAATCAAAACCTTCAATCCAGCAGTGTAAGTTCTAATTCTTCTTCAAATTTAGTGAATTATAATTCATTACAAGAAGCATTTAATGAAATGCATGAAGAGGCTAAGAAACCGCAAAAAGAAAATGATAGGCTAAAAGGATTGAATAATTGGTTAGTAAATAAAGTAGACTCTCTTGAAAAGAGAATTCTTGAAGATGAAGCTGATTGTGATTTCTTAAAATTAATTCATGATAATTCTGATTGTGCATGTAATAAACCACTGTAATAATTGTTCAAAATTACAAAAGAAAATTGATTTTTTATCACAAACCGTTTCAAGGTTTACACAAGGTCAAGCTAATCTTGACGTTTTACTTGGGTCACAAAAACTAATTTTTGACAAATCTGGAATAGGATTTAAATCTAGGATGAAATTCAGAAAAACAAATGTAAATAGGAAATCATACTCTGTGATTAAATGTTTTTATTGCATGAAAAGAGGTCATTC